TGTGCAAAAGTAGCAAGCTCTGTACCGCAAGTTTGTAAAAGTAGAAATGTTCTGTATTGTAACGAACCAATGGGAATATTTTTTCTTCGCTCGACTTTGCGAGTTTGAGTTCTTGAATTCGTTCTTCCAGATCTTCGAACTGATGAATTCTTTCTAAACATCGCATGAAAATGTAAGGGTAAAATTACAAAGAGGATTCGTATAAGAAACTAAGAAATTATGGAGGTCAAGTATTTAAAGAAAATGAAACTGTTATTCTTTAAAAAGAAAAATTAATAAAGTGAAATGTTGATATGTAGCAGAGTAAAGAAAAACTCCGAACTGCAATATTTTATTTACGTTGAATGTACTTACCAACTTTATCCAGCATACTTGCTGCTGTACCCATTGTTACAGATTGATTTCAAACTTCTTGAATATATCGAAAAAAAAATTGTTTTAGTTAAAAAACTTTGATTTTAAATATTTCTAAATTGGTTAATGCGAAAACATTTGACGGTAATGGTTTGATTTTATGCTGACGGTGCTTTAAATTTGTAGAACTCTTTGTTTCCAACACTCAAATCAGCAAATCATGGCTCCCCCCCCCCCCCCACCACCACCACCAAGTATAGCTAACGTGGAGATAATCGGTTAAAATGATACGCATGGTTGACTGAGAAAGGTCACGGAGTAAGCAGGAAGTCGAGGGTGTTAGATCAGTGGCGTAGCCAGGATCGTCGCATGGGGGGGGGGGGGTTCACATTTTTTCCCGCATTATAAATGTATATATCAGAGGCGTAGCGTCCCTCCCCGGCCCCTGAGGACAAACTTTTGATTTGCACCCCCCTCATACTTTTGATTTGCACCCCCCCTCAAACTTTATGTATCTACCGAGGGATCTATGGGTGGGGGGGTTCTGACCCCTTCTAACCCCCCCCCCCTGCCTACGCCACTGTGTTAGATACATTTGTAAACAGGCCAAACTGGTCTCTTCCTTGTTCAATAGATTCCTGGCCTTTATATTTCTATGTGTGAATTACATTTGGTCGAAGTCAATCGCGTTTCAAAGCTATTCAACGTTACGCTTGAACTAATTGCTATACACGTCTACGTTTTTACGACTTACGGAGATAAATTGAATTTAAACCGACTCTTTGTAGTATGTCGTTATATTAGGCAATTTACATTAACGTATTTAAAGCGGTAGAGTTGTCTCAATAGAAAAAAACATATATCGTTTATCTTCAATCAAAACATTGGAATCAAACATTAATGTATTTAGAGCGGTAGAGTTGTCTCAATAGAAAAAAAATATATCGTTTATCTTCAATCAAAAAATTGGAATCGGGAAGTGACAAAACTAAGTTCTTTTTTTTTAAATTATTTCTAGACATAAACTAAACAACGCTATAACTCTAGCATAATGGTTGTAGTAATAAAACTGTGTTAGATCATATGTTGGTATTTAATGGGATTAGGAAGAGATTTTATTTTATGTAATGGGACCATGGGATTTTACTGGGATTAAAAAGGTCAAACTCTCTCGACGTAAATAAATTTGTATGCAATGCTTCTAGTGTATGAAACGGTTTAATTTAGCATACGAAAGCAGAATTAAATTCCTCTAAGGTATGCGTGTTTTTAAGCTACATATAATGCATTATATACGTCTTAAGTTTGTTTGTACATTTTTGTAAGCTCTGAAATGTTACGTGTAGACATTGGCGCTTTAAATTTTGTAAACTTCAAGTGAACGGTCAAGGTCAGTTATTCAACTGTAATGTTGGTTATCTTGTTCAAAACGTTTGTGAGTGTGCTAAGCCACTGGTGCGCACAATTTTCTATTCATTACATCTATCGTAGTCCTTTAGTTGTGTTAGATCGGTAGCGATGATCTAGACCAGTGGCGTAGCGAGGTCGGGTGTCACCCGGTGCGGCACTTAATGGTGTCACCCCCAGAAGCGGACAAACTTTCAATTTTCGATTTACACCCCTCTCCCCCCCCCCCTCAGTCTTTGGATTTGAACCCCCCCCCCCTCCTCAAACTTTCGATTTGCACCTCTTAAAAGACTATTTAACACTCGAATTAATCACTTAATTAAGTTGAATTATCATTTTTCTCTATATATTTTGCTATGTTTTCCCTTGATGTCACCCCCTAAATGGTGTCACCCGGTGCGGTCCGCACTCCCCGCCCCCCCCCCCCCCCCCCCCCGCTACGCCCCTGATCGAGACAGCAGCTAAACACAAGAATAACTCCTGCAATGACTGTAAAGGTGTCTGACTGATACTCAGAACAGGGATAGACTGGCTGTATCCAAGTGGCTTGGGAAATTTTAAGAAGGGCCCACAACCCCGGATTAGAAATTCCATTATGCATTTTTTCCCCATCTGAAAGCTGACGATCATCCTCAGATTGACGTAAATTCATGCGACAAATTATTTAAAAATTTAAAAAATAACACTAATTGGCATAGAACAGCACTATTGCTTTTGGACCTCAGGGATTTTTCGCCGGTAGACCACCTTTGACTCAGAAACCAACTTCTTTCTTTCTTAATAATATTTGCTTCTTCTTCTGCGTTCTTAATTTTAGTGTTTGAAATTATCACCTCCAACACAATTACATATACATGTCTACTGGTTATGCGCCATTGAGGCCATTGACTCCGATTTCAGCCTGCTTTTCTTTTTGGATTTGCTTCCATAGTCTTTGTCCAATCAAGAACAAACTACAAGGCAGCAGCTGTTTGATTTTGGAGTTGTCTCTCCTGGAAGAGGGGCTGTCCCCCAGCTACATTTGCTATACTGGAACATTTCTTCCAACATAATTTAGTTTTACGTGTCAATACGTTATGCGTCATTTTGCCCATGGGCTGCATCATAAGACGTAATTTTTCCTCTGTGCGTAACATAAGCCGTATTTTTTTTACTCTGTTTATAAATAAGCCGTAATTTTTACTCATGGCATAACATAGGCGTAAATTTAAATGTCAAGAAATGGTTAAGATTTTACTTTTAAAATGTTAAACGGCATTTCTACTGTTTGTTTTCTGTTGGTTTTATTAAAAAATTTCAAACTATAGACGGACATTTATTGACTAACATAATATAAGCCAATATGTATTGAAATTTCACTTAGGCTATAATATCATGTAGGCGTGCCATACAGTAATAATTTCAAAATGCATTTAACACATCTTTAATGTGGATCGAGTGTAATTAATTAAAATAATTTTAAGTTTAATTGCAATATTGGCATATTTTTATGCTTTAAATTTCAAGTTGTCCGTCATAATTAAAGATACTTCCAAATCAACATGCACAACGAAATAGAAAAAAAAACGATCAACTCTTTTAAAGTTAAGAAACTTAAATTTGGTTTACTGTTAATGTATTCTCTTTACTGCAAATAAAAGAATTGACATACACACATTTCTAAAATTGTACACAGTAGGGTATAATAAGTGTTTTATAATAAAAATCTACATACCTTTCTCAATTAGAATTGTATTGTAACAGTTAACGTATTTCTTGTATTTCAATACAAATACACAGCTTAAGCTAAATCAAGATGATGAGCTATAATATTCAACATGTGAGATACTTGTTGGAGAAGTGTTATATCAACTTTATAATGTCAATGCTATCATAAGAGACAGTCTGATATATCGTTGATCGAATATACCAAAGTCATGTATCAACTTTATAATGTTAATGCTACCACGAGAGCAAGTCTAATATATCGTTGGTAGAGTCTAACAAAGCCACGTGACTTAAAACACCTGTACCGGTATTGAACTGAAGACCGCATGAAGGTCCGCAAAGAGGAAGTCTAGCACATAGCACTACAGACACAGGTAACAGCGTATATAGGCCGTGCCGCTGGTTCTTTTAGCATTAGCTCTATTGATTGGGGAAGGTGATTTTAAAAAACAACCTAGCTTAATGTTAACTAAATATACACACAAAGAGCATGGGCATTGAAGTATATTGCAATAATTAAACTAGTTTTGAATATTAAAAAAAATATCAACTCAAATTAAATATTATAATTAACTACGTAATAGTAATATATATGTAGGCCTATTTGTCAAACTGGCAATTAGTATATATATATATATATATATATATATATATATATATATATATATATATATATATATATATATATATTTATATATATATATAGTTGACAATCATTAGTTATTGTGAATATTGTAAAACTATGACATTGTTAAGTACGTAAATTATAAGTAAAATTCCCATTTCTAACAAAGGATGCATATGGTAGATGCATTAAAACCTAGGCATATATTATTAAGATGTGGTTAGCACTATGCCCAGCCGCCTTTACTTTCCCTAGCGTACGTCCGATAAGTCCTACCCATCAGAGTTGGGTGGGCTCAGTGACGTCATGCTTACTCAACTCTGAATTGAGATCCAAACTCAAGGCTTTCGTGGAGCAGTCGAGCGCTCTATCGCGTTACCCCAAAATAGCAATATAATTTATAATATCTTCTTCGTTCTTAATTGTAATATTGGCGAGATTCCTTCCAACACAATTAAACAAAAAAAAAATAACCATATGGGTTGTTAAATAAGATTTCAGCCTGCTTTTCTTTTTTTGGATTTGCTTCCATAGCCTTTCTCCAAACAAGAACGAACAACAAGTCATCAGTTTTTAGTATTTACATTTACCTCTATTAGATGAGTTGCTATCCCCAGCGATCGATCATCATTTGCCCGGGGATTCGAATTTAGAACGTTTCGGTTAAGCAAAAAATGTATCAAACCATTACTAAAGAACGTGAGTATTAAAGCTGATTAGGTTTGATTGAATATTAGATTATTGAACTAAAACACCCATTGTGGTTGTAACGGACGAGAAAGATAGTGTAAAAAAATCTCACAAAAAATAAAGAAAATTGACTTGATTAACTGATACCTGTCACCATTTTAAAAACATTTTTTCTTACATTATTTAACTATTTATATAATGGTGGTATTTTAAAATGTCTACACAATTATTTTTAATTGACCATCTTATTTTAATATATAATGTCTAGAAAGGTACTTCGTTGTATGAATATAAACTATGTTTTCTGTTTGGCTTTGTAGAAATTCTTGCAACAGTGCAACACATGCAACCGTTGTGTACCGCGTGCTATAGATCAGACTGAGTTTCTTAGACTAACCATGTATATGTATCAAACGGAATTGTTTCAGTACAACTACTTGAGACAATCGTATTAAACAGACACCGCTACGGGTAAATAGTGGAAAGAAACAAAAACTTGATTAGGATGATTGTTAGAAAATATGCGTAATAAGAAACTAATGCAAAAGTTTCAAATCATAATGTCTCAATGTCAGTTTGACAACTGTTTCAGGTAAATAGCATGTTATAATTAATTAAACGGCGAGGCCGAATGGCAGAGCATACGTTTATTAACCCAAAGTCTAGAGTTCGAATCCGGGTTTATGAACGTAGAACGTCCCGAATTCACTCAGATCCGATGGATAATGCCGAAGTGAAAGAAACAGGTGAATCCAACTTCACAGTCTCCAGGGGCCTACAGGTTCGAAAGGACACTTTTTACTTTTAAAGAATAATATTTGAAATATACATACAAACATATATATACATATGTATGTATGTATATATATATATATATATATATATATATATATATATATATATATATATATTTATATATATATATATATATATATATATATATATATATATATAAGGCTTTAACATAAAAGAATAGTTTCAACTGTCACATGTTATCTACCTTTGTCTGCTTATCAGTTGTATTGATATTATATTAATCGACTTGTGATTGTCTGTCGAGTGAACTGCTCTATCAGATCGCGTATTTATTCAGATAAAGGAAATCTGACATTACAGCTAAAAAAACATCTACGATCAAGAAGGTAGTATCCGTAATTCTTTTGTACAAGGAAGTTAAAGTCTAGTCCATTATAACACGTCAGAGACGGCGTGGCCGAGCGGTAAGACTGCTAACTTGAAAGTCTCGAGTTCGAATCCCGGGTTCTGGTCTGTATAATGTCCTTGTGTCTATCCCCACGTTACATCCGAGGGCATTGACACACATATACTCTAATTCATCTGCCCCCATATATCTTGATCACAAAAAGGGAAAGATGATGATAATAAACCAGTCAAATCATTCCTGTAATATTTTAATTATGTTTTGGTTTCCAGACGTAACTTTTAGTTACCAATGCTCCATATGACGCTGAGCTGTATAGAGATTTTAAATGAGGATTTATATACATGATGAATTGGTTTGCTGTATTTTGTTTTTTTGAGAATCAAAGTTGTAAGCTTAAAATTTGGTGGTTCGAAACTAAATTAATTATTGATTTGAGATGTATTGTTTGAGTTAAAGACCTCATAAATTATGCAACAAAAAAATAAAATGCCTGATTTATTTTCAGATGGTAATTTAGGTCTAGTATCGTGAACATTTTTATTTTAAGCAAAAGATCGATTTACACATTAAAAAAAAAACAGTTTTAAATCACACAGAAATAAAGCTTCTAGTTTGTTTTGTTTTTAACTAAAATTATTGATGTCTATCTGTATGTCTTTTTCTGTCTTCCTCTCATATTTAAGATATATATATATATATATATATATATATATATATATATATATATATATATATATATATATATATGTGTGTGTGTGTGTGTGTGTGTTTATTTGTGTTTGTGATTGTCTACACATATGTGTGTTGTGTGTGTGTGTGTGTCTTATACGCATGATTACATATTAAAAATATCAGTCTAGCTCCATTTGAAACAAGCAAACATTTGCTGTAACGTCTTCTTGTAGTTCGAGCTCATGCTGTAGTAGACGACGATGGTGATGCTGGAATTGATGGACTCCGTGTAGTAGGCCACGTTGTAGCAGACGAGGGCGATGTCGAAATATTTCCCGTACAACCCCAGCCCCGGCACCAGGCTGACCGCAGACAAAATGGCTGACTGCGGCATCAGGCAGACGATGAACGTTATCGATATCGTCGTCAGCATCCGGATGACCCGCTTCTCTGATTGGCTGATATTTTTATCACGTTTGTTGACGCTGGATAGCGTTTTGACCCATTTAGCGCGATGGTTGAGTTTGAACGAGAGGATGACGGTGGAGACGATGATAACGATGAAAGTAGCGTAAGGGAGGAATAAGTCAGTGATTAAGTACGACACGTCATACATGCTTTTACTAACACTCCTGAACACAATCCCCAAATAAGTCTTGTTATTCCCAGGTGAGATCTTCTTCCAACCTATATAACCGGTATAGTAGGCGGGGAATTCGTTAAACAAGGTAATGAAGTATATGGTGACATTCGTCACCACCACCACCTTCGTGGTGACCCACCGCTTCACCTTTAACGGAAACACCACACACAGACATCTCTCCACGCTGGCGAATGCCGTGATAAACCCACACACACGGATAAAGTAGTTGTGTGGGTAGAACGACACCATCACGGCTATATCCAGAGGGATGATGTTCACATCCAGCTGTAAGAACCAGGGGTTCACCAGCACGTTGAAGGCTTGTAGCGTCACGAGCGCGCCAAGGTCAGTCAAGGCCAAGAAGGTCAAGGTTATGTTAACGGTATCGGTAAATCCCAGTTTATAAAAGATGATGATGTTGATGATGTTTCCGATGATACCAAATATAGTTAGCAGTTCGCCGAATATAGCATTAGTACCGAGTAAAACGTCCAATATCCAACCAGGAATTATTTTAACATTTGAAGCAGAAATTACTGTTGAATTCATATTGGACTATTATTGTTTTTGGATCTATTTTTTTATGTTGTTTTTTTCAACACTGAGAAACTGAATTCCTATTTCGCAATTGAAAAAAAAAATCAAAATAAATTAATTTTAAAGCTTCGAAATAAATATTTCTTTTTCGTGAGAAGTATTCAATTGATATATTTGATGCTTTTGCCTCAATTATGAATGTCTAACACTGCTAAAATGTATTTAGTCACACTTAGTGTTAGGATTGTAACTACTACGCACATTCGCACAAGATAATTATCAGTATTATCTTTTACTCCAGAGATTTAAGTTAGAGATTAGACAGGGACTCCGCGTTCTGGAAGTGCACCCAATGCTAGAAATTACAGTCAAGACTATCCAAGCGTAGTCGGTTTGTGAGCGTAGTTTTAATGGCGTCCTGGATAATGTGTTTTAGCCTATGGTTTACGGTACATATTTAGTAATAACATTAAGTTTACTTTGTTAGAAAGTTTTTTAAATGTGTATCACACAAATAATTTAATATGTATTTGGATTTTTTCTAAGTAATTTAAAAGTAAAACCCAATCGTGAACACGATTTAATATGAATTTTAAATATTTATATTCTTATAATCAATATATTTTACTAAATAATTTAAAAAGAAAAAAAAATCGTACAAATTATTTCATATATATTTTGATTATTTTTTTACGATCACCATATTTTACGACGTAATTTAAAAGTAAAACAAAGTCACAGTTGTTGAAGACTTCGTAGATTCAAAAACCATTTACAACTTGCCACGTGATTTATCTAATGTGGCACTTGACATAAGTTTCGACTTTAAATTATGAGTCGTTGAAAAGTTTTATAACAAAATCCTTTTTTATAGAAAACAAGCTATACAATTTTAGTATTTAAGTTTGTTCACGATAAAAATATTTGATTTGCTTCAGGCCTTCATGTCAAAATTTTAGACATTTAATTAAAATTATTATTGATATTTTACTCTTTAGAAATCAAAACAAAATTTAACTCATATTCCGATAATTGTAGATTGCAATTATTTTTATAACTTCCCCTTTAGGATATTATTAAGGCAATTTTAAATCCACTGTGATCTTATTAAACTCATTTACTATTAGTTAATTAGCGTTAATGAGAAATACTATGGTTATTTTCAGCGGACTGAAAACGTTTGACGTATGAGAAATAGATTCACTTGAAACCTTCAAATTGTAGTAATTAAGTTTAATTAATCACAATAACTACCAAGCAATTTGCGTTTAATTAATTGCTACCGGGTACACGTATAGCATATAATTATATCGATTTGTCACTCTTTTTTTAAGTTCTATTTTGTATATTTCAGATGGTTAAATATTTTCGCATTCTTTGTGAATCGGATCATTCTGATGCTCGTATGTTTTATTCTACAAGCAGCAAATGTACGTTTCTTGAGAGGCATAGCCAGTGGCTATAGATTAAGGTTTGTATAATTTCGTATTTTCTGCTGATGAATTATTTTTGCACCGTTCAGTGCAATAAGAGAATCATTGTTTGTTTTTTTAAAACAAAAAACAATCAGTCAAAATGTAAAATGTGTTTGCTGGAAGTTAAGCCATAATGTCACGCTTGTGAACACTCAACAAAAGTTGACACATAAATAATGTAGTAAAAGGAGGCAACTTTAAAATGTTGTACAATGGTATACTGCAGTTTTTGTGGGTCTGCAGGTAAAAAAAAACTTTATTAAGTTCAAAATTTTTGGTTGCTTTTTTCTGTATTCCGTAATATGCTTGTTTGTTTGCTTTTTGTGGGGTTGTGCCTAATCTTGAGGCTCAATTTTAACGAAACTTGTATGCAACTAACTGGGTACACAAATTATCTTCTGTTGTATTGGAGATTTAAACTATCATGTTAATATTTTCATACTCTCAGTGCCGCATATGGTGGACTAAGAATGGTTATAATATAGTCATGTACATTGTAAAAACGGTCACTTTGAGTTTGTGATCCTGATTTGAAATGGCTATATATTTGTATTAGAAGAGTATTGTCAATATTTTGGCGACCTATATTAGTGCGAGTGTTATTTTCCAATATTGCTGGGTTATAGACACTATACTTGTTACATTAGTCCTGCTACTTGACGGCACCTGTGACCTTTTTCTTTTTCTGTAAGATGGCACGCTCTCCAACACACTTGGCTGCGCAAGAGCCTACAACGCTAGATAGCGCAGGCGTGTGGTCGATAATACTGTGTCTACCTTTTAAATTAAGCGCATACACTGTAGCTGTGTTCCGTAGTCACTCTTGATCATCCATAAATGCACTAGCCCTGACAATCCCCTACTATTTCTGAGGAAGTGCTATATGCATTAAACTTTCTATCTTTTACTGAAGAATTCGTTTGTATTAAAGCACTAGTTATTAGATTTTTTTTAATTACTGAAAATTGAATACATTTCACCTCGTATGTTAAAAGTTTCGTTTGTTTCGGGAGAAATTCGTTTTATTTGATATTTGAAAGTATTCTCGATTAGTGCAGTATAGGCCTATCTAGCGTTGATAAAATTCACTGTATCATTTGTTTAATTATCTTAATCAAGCATAAATAAATTTATTTGTTGTTTGAAGTCGGGCTGGTATGCTGCTTAACACAGTCACTAAACAAATTTTAATATAAAATACCAATAAAAAAACACATAAAAAACGAAAATACCATTTTTATTAGATACGAGATAAATGGCCCGTTGAGGAAGGATACAACGGGCGCAAAGGTTAATATTGTTTTCTCTTTTCTTTAAACAAAAAAACCATCTTTACCTCAAATTGAACTGGAAACGAAAAATGACATTAAAAGCAGATTTTTATCAAGAATCGAGATTTTAATCGGATTTAATCTTGATCTACGCGTAGTTATCGAGCATTTATACAAAATATAGTAATAGGCATTTCCCTAAACCATGCACCTAACCTCATTCATGACAAAAGTCGCATTTAGAGTTTCTTTCAGGTAACTCTATTTGGGATTAGGGGGCTCCACACCCCCCCCCCCCCCACCTTAAAACATGTCTACCGTCCCATTCAACGAATTATAAATATATACTTTTTTCAGTGTCCACCCCCTCCCAGAAAATTCCACCCTCGCCGTCAAAAAATTCAAGTACCCCCACCCCTCTCCGGAAGGAAAAAGTCTGAAAGAAACTCTGGTCGCATTTGTAGATCATACTAACTAAAGGAAGAACCTGAGCGGGGCTTCGCCCCTACCGGAAGAGATGCATGAAAGAAACTGTGCACGCAAATTAGATTAGAAAAAGTTCCCCCCTCCGGGAGGAAAAAGTCTGAAATAAACACTGGTGTCGCGCTTAGCCACTACCCGAAGAATTGCATGAAAGTAACTCTACACGCAAAACTCTTATAAGATTAGTTCTTACGCGGAGGTAGGGCTTCGCCCCTACCCGAAAAATAGCATGAAAGAAACTCTGCACGCAAACCGCTTCTAAGATTAACCACTTTTAAAATTACACAAAATTGGCTTTTATTCAATGTTTACTCGAAAATCAATGACGTCATATTTAAGTGTGCACTCCCCCGGCTTTAGTCTATTTCATACTATATGCTCCATGTGACGTCACGTTTCGTTTCGTTTTACTATGAAAGTTTTTACTCTGCATGTGTTTTCTCTATAGCGTTCTTGTCAGATAGATACATAAATAGACAGAGAAACTATTATTATAGACGAGAAAAATGGCCCGTTGAGGAAGGATACAACGGGCGCTAGGTTGGTAGTGCTGTCTATTTTCTCTAAACTAAAACCAAAACAAAAATCACCACCTTAATTCAATTTAACCGGAAACGAAACATGACATTGAAAACGGATTTTTATCCAGAATCGGTATTTTAAACTTGATCTCCACGTAGTTACTGCACATTGATACTAAATATAGTTGTAGCCATACGCCTAAACCTTGCAACTAATCTCAATCATGACAGAAGTCGCATTAAGAGTTTCTTTTAGGCGACTCTACTTGCCCACCCCCCCCCCCGCCCACATACACACCCCAAAGCACATCTACCGTCCCATTCAACGAAATGCATTGATATAGAAAATATAATTCACCAGTGTTTCCCCCCCCCCCCCCCGCCCTGAAAATTTAGTCCACACGCACCCCCGAAAATTTCAAGTACCCCCCCCCCCCCCCATTTAGGGGAGTAAAAGTTTGAAAGAAAAGTAAAATTTCTCCTCAAACTACTGATAAGGGCATTGTTATGATGTATGTTTGACAAGGTAAATTGGTGCGAATGAATGCTGGTGCGAAGCTATAATATTGAACGAGTGAAAGTCTGACGCGGTACGCAAGAAAGTTTTAGTGTGAGTTCGCTGTTGCCGGGGGGAGAAGCTTAGATTAGTCTTGTTCGTGTTATGTTAGGGTTAGTGTTACGCTGAGTGAGGGCTTTGGTTATTTGATCCAATACCATTTTTTCTTAACCACTACCATGTGGAGATTTTGTGTTCACAGACATAAATTGTACCATCATTAACTAGGACGACGTGGACGACCAACAATCAATAAGAGGAACTCTCAACTCACATACATCCTTCCACCAAGGCGAAGAAAATCATTCTAACTCACGCACAATACCTAGCAACCAGTCTCTACACCAGAACGTCACTGTCGCACCATACGCGTCATCATTCCTTGCGTTCAACATACCTTTCGCACCAACATTCATTCGCGCTGATCTATAGCATAGATCCTAACATGCATCATAACAGTTAGGTTGTCCAGTCTTAGTATCGTTTGTTCAAGTCGTCTGATGTCTATTTCTTATAGTGCAATAAATAGAAGCAGTAAATAATGTCTTTCTGTCGAATCATTTGTATGCGTTGATGTCGTCGAGTTTCAAGATGAGCTACTAACCGGATGGGCATAATACAATGGTAGTCGTATCGGAATATAATATTGGATCAAGTAGTGCAACCCTCTCACTGCATAGCTGCGGGACACATATAGAACCCAGTTATAACAGGCATACACGTAGAAATAATGATAGTGTAGAGATTTATTAAAATATGATTGACTAATCATATTACGGCACAATAAATCAAAACGATTCACGATAGGTTGGCGATTTGGGTAGTCATTTTTTTGCTATGTAAACAACTAATCGCCCTTTTTTTTTACTTCATTTGGTAAAATATACTCTTTAATTTATTGTTTTAAACTTATACAACAGAATACCGGTTAATGTGTCAACAAGTGTCAAGAAAGGTGCTGTTGATTGTCATTAGAACACAATGAAATACTGTTTATCACGTTTTAGTTTAATGTTGAGCTGAAAAATACTTAATGAACGAGTTTGTTCTGTAAGGTTGAAGAACAAACGATAGCTCTTCCTCTCTTCTTGTACTTGATAGTCAACTTAAGGTCAGTTTATAATCCATCCTGTTACATAATTTTGTATTAGGCCTGAACGGATACATCAGAAGAATGGGGGACGGGGGCGTGTCGGGGTGTGTTTAGTCTCAAGCGCTTAACAACGAATTGGCTGGTATGCTATTATCAAGAGTCAATAGTCAATAGATTTGTGTAAACTAAAATTCAAGTAGTGATAGACATTGTATTGAATTGAGAAGACCGGCTAATAATAAATTATTAATCTAGTCAGTTAATTGTTTTTCTTAGAATAGTACTTGATGAATATTATAGTTAATATATAGTAGTCAATAACGCAATTCCTCATGTATACATTATTTGTGCCTATACAAAAAAAACTTATCCGAAAGGCTCTTCCACATAAAACAATACATCTTTTATTGCTTCATGTAACAGGAACCATACAGTACCATTTTCAAACCTACTTTTCAAGTTTTCTTAACTTTGCATTTTTAAGCAAGAATCCATAATTAAAATTGCTAAAGCTTTGGAATACTTTGTCATACAGGACTGAAACTTTCCACATACATTCAAAACATTATGTTTGTACTTTAAGTGTACTGCAATATTTTAGGAAATATTATTATACATGAAGCACCACCCCCTAATTTGCGTTCATAACTGTACGTACAAATTTTTATTTTAAAAAATCTTAATGTTAAATTCTTTTTTCAACTGTGGTATGTATCTAAAACTTACCCTCTGTTAAAAATCAAATATTTTAACTACATAATTTTTAATTTTTGAAAAATAAAGAAGAAAAAAACAACGTTTAATTGAATATTATAATCCGTTTTACAATCACAATTAGAACGAAAAGCATAATTACTATACATAAAAGATACAAATACAACAATTAAATAATCCTTTTCACAAAATATTGAAGTTTACTAAATTATTTATTTAAAACAGGGAATGTATAATAATTAGGCCTATGCAGTGGCGTAGCGAGGTCGGGTGTCACCCGGTGCGGCACTTAATGGTGTCACCCCCCCCCCCCCCCCCCAGAGGCATAGAGACCCTTCCCAGGGACAAACTTTCAAATTTTCGATTTGCACCCCCCCCCCTCAAGTTTTCGATTTGCACCCCCCCCCTCAAGTTTTCGATTTGCACCCCCCCCCCTAAGTTTTCGATTTGCACCCCCCCCCCCTCAAACTTTCGATTTGCACCCCCCCTCGAGTTTTTCTCTATATATTTTGCTGTTTTTTGCCTTGGTGTCACCCCCCTAAATGGTGTCACCCGGTGCGGTCCGCACCCCCCGCCCCCCCCTCGCTACGCCCCTGGGCCTATGTTTACATAATTATGATAATTTACACATCTATATTTTAAAAACAACACACTACTACTATGAAAAAATTAACGAAAATTGAGTTTCGGAAATTCAGAAAATCTCCAATGGCTGGAAAGTCCTTTTGTTCTCACCCTGTGTTACGTTCATTTGCAGGCTTGGGATGACGTAGTTCACGTAAAACTTGAACTGGATTATATAAAAAAAATTAAACGCATGATACCTTGATACAATAAACAGCAAAAAGTTTATTCTGATTTTTAACCGAAAATAAAAACTCCTTCGCTACGATGTTGGTCTAATTGTATGCTTAGTCATTTAGACAATGAGGTCAAAACGAAACGTATTACTAGTTTTATTAAATAAATTTTATTGCTTCTTGTTTTTTACAGAATTTTAAATCTATTTCAATTCTAAAAGATGAAAATATATTTTCTATTATTAATTTTCAAGTTTTTAATTGTTCTTTGTAAACATGTTATAATGAAGTTCCAATAAATTCCAAGTAATTTTTTCATCACAAGCAGATTCCTAAAAATACAGCTACAATTAGAAAAGCAGAAAATGATTTTTTGATTCGTTGAACGTTCTAGAAGACACACAAATTATAAGATTATTTTTACCTTGGATTTATTGGATTGATGGATAGCAAGTCTTGACGTTCCTGATATGCAACTGAACTTACATTACCTGTGTCGCAATTTATTAAAAATTATATGGGGAACATACTTTTCTAGAAATGGTTAAAAAAAAAGTTTTGTGTTGACCGTTGTTATGTTAAAAATATACAGTTGAGTCAAGAAGTTAACGTTTTCAGTCTTCACTCGTGGAATCTGATACACTTCTGCTCCTTGACCATTCCGTCCTAATTTGTTATTTGTGGTCCCCATAAAAATTCACAATCGCCCCCCCCCCAACTCTACCCAAAGAGATGCCTAAAAATATTTAGACAAATAAATTAGCAGGTAATGTTTGTGTTTTATTATCAAGTACCGATGATATCATTATTATTGTGTACTTTTGGGTGGCAATGGCTTTATAATTCTATGTTAACTCTAGAATCAATGACGTCATTTTATTATTTGTACGTTTCCTGCTTTAGAATATTTCCTATATTTTTCATGTGAAGTCACACTTCATTTTCCGTTTCTTTTTTAAACTTTTTACTTTTCTTGTGTTTTCTTTATAGCGTTTCCAACAGACAGAAAGACAGAATAGCGTAAATATTATTAAAACGAGATAAATGGCCCATTGAGGGAGAAATGCAATGAGCGCTAGGTTAATAGGGTTCTCTTTTTCTTTCAACAAAAACCAAAAAGAAAAACAAAACTACCACCTCAATATCAAATTGAACCTAAACCGAACAATGTCATTAAATAAAGACTTTATCCAGAGTGTGCACGTAGTTACTGCGCATTTATACTAAATAGTCATAGCCCTAAATCTTGAACCTAAGCTCAAACTTAACAAAAGTCGCATTTAGAGGTTTTTTTTCAGGCAACTTTTGTGAGTGGGTGTGTGTGGGGGGGGGGGTACAAAACCCCGCCGAAGAAAGTCTACCGCCTCCTCTAACGACGCAGAATCTATACAGAAATTATACTTTTACGAGTGTCCGCCTCTTTAATCCAGCCCCCCCCCCCCCCCCCACACACACTTTTCCTGCTTTAAAATACTTCCTATATGTTCCATGTAATGTCAAGTTTCCTTTCCCCTTTGACTGAAAATTTGTATTTTGCTGGTGTTTTCTCTATATTGTTACTGAATGATATAACGACAGAATGACAGAATAATGAGACTATTCTCATAGATACGTTTACCAATAAATGATAGAACAGTAATACTCTTTTAGCCAACTTATATTTAATATAATTATTTTTTTTTTACTTTCTAGTATGCGGAGTACAGAGGAAGTATTCAATAATGCAAAAGGTCAAAATCAAGATTTTCATAAATCTCGAAATTTTACACCTCCCTGAGACAGAAAAACTTAGTTTAGCACTTTTGTATGTGTGTGGTGTGTATGTGTGTGGTGTGTGTGAAACTGTTAATCTGTGTGTCTGTGTGTCTGTGAATCTGTGTGTCTGTGTGTCTGTGAAAAGCGATTTCCACTAAATGGAAATGGCACTTATTCTACTTTCCGTTTTAAAAATGCCTATAGCATCTTCTTCTTCGTTCTTAATTTTAGTGTTGGAAGGGATACCCCTCCAGACACAATTAAGTATACGTGTCACTGGATATGCGCCATTGAGGCCCAACAAAGAACAAACTACAAGGCAGCAGTTGTTTCATTTTAGAAGAGTGGTTGTCTCCAGCTAATGAGCCTTATCTGCCGTAGGGTTCGAACTCAAGACTTTTTCGGTTTAGCAACCATGAGCTTTACCGACTCGACCACGCCGACCACGGCCTATTGCTAAAGTAATGTTTCAGATAGTCAAAATTTCACATATAAGTAGGATATCTAACTCTCTGTTTTCCGAAAAATGTTGAGTTGTTTCAGGTGAACGGAAGTAATACTTTATACTATTTCCGATTTCTCAAAAATCCATATAAAATTTATTTCGTCTTGATTTTTTTGGCTTTCATAGGCGGAAATTTGATAGCAGAGTTTCGAGGACGTCTACCATACCGAGTTGTTTAAAAATGTTCACGAAGGTCAAGACTTAAATACAATGTATTGTGGAATAAAATGATACTTAATCAGTTATATTTTTTCTTTATTAAGTAATCATTTTTCAATTTTCTACACATTGCTGGTGTTTATTTGGAACGCAATTTTTTTTTCTACGAAAATCGATTCTATTTTAAATAAACCGGGAGTGCTCTCCCCTAAACTTTCTCGAATATTCTTATATAAAACAACAGGGGATGGGAACTCGGAATATAGTTATAATTTTAAATCCATTTTAAATACTTAAACTTTTTAAAATAGAATACAATCTAATAGAAAAAAGAATTGCGCACCAAGCGAACGCAAAAACAAAATGTGCATAATAGTGCGGAATATTATAAGAAATTTATAAATTTACAAGCGTTTTTTTGATCATTCGGAAATAGCGTAGTTTGTATTTCCGGTCAACCGAAATTACTCAAACTTTAAAAGATGGTAGAGAATTAGATCTTTTACTTACGTGTGAAATTTCATTTATCTATCTGATACAGTACTCAAGTTATAAGCTTTTGAAAAATTCAAAGTGAAAAAAGTACCACTTCCGGTTATCGGAAATCGCTCAAAAGTTGATATGCATCTACGATTTTGAGAAAATACTTATATATGAAATTTGATCAACCTAGCTCTAACGGTACTCAAGTATCGTGTTTAAACACAGACACACAGACATACGGACAAGATTGCAAAATTATGTTTTTCCGTATCAGTGAGGTGTAAAACGTCGAGATTTGTAAAAATCTCGATTTTTTGTGCACGATTACAAGACTTTCTCTATACTTCGTATATACGAGAAAGTAAAAATGTAAGTATTTGAAAATTGATTAAAAATCATGTCTATATCTGGAGTTGCCATCCCCGTAGCATTAAATTCGAATATTCGTGAAATTTTACGTGAGATTACTCCCGCTTTATTTAGTTTCACTATTACAACTATTATATTTCCATGGTTCAGGAGATTTTGATTGAAGGTTTTATAGAAAGTAGATTTTAAATGTAGGCCTTTTTGATGCAAAGTGTTTTAACTTTCAAGTTATATCAGCAACCAATAAGGTCTCTACATAACAGTGTGCTTTAACAAATATGTCAGATAAAACAATCTAAAATCTCTGTGTTTGAGATTTTGAAAACAAATGTTTACGAGCAATGTAGATAAAACGTGTTACCTCGATTCGATGAATAAGGTACTTTTGGTATAGTTTGAGCATTATTGTGCATATCCTGATGTCCACTAGTAGATCCTGTCAATTAAAAAAAAACTTAGCGACACATTACAATGATTGTAATTGCAATTTTAAATTACACGGCTTAATGAATTTTATAAAACACGATACTCCTCAACATAAATAAAATATTCAGTTGGGTAGACCGTTGCTCTGAATTCTAACCTGTTTTGCTTTATATTACCAACTAGACTACCCGTCATCCGTTGGATAACTGTGGGTTTCGGGGGTCATCCATAAAAAAAACGTCTGTCACTTATCGTCAGAAAAATCCAGACCCCACATTCAAAAAGAAGTTTTTTATCTTTTAAAAACACCAAAAACACCGATTTCGGACTATCCCTTCATATACTGACGTTACAGGTGACCTTCTCAACTCTACTTCACCTGCCCAGTGTCCCGCCAAGTCTCAGAAAACATGTTTTTATCGTTTAAAAAAACGATTCCAGCCGAGCATGTCTCTGACCACGCTATCCCTTCATATGCTTAGGACAAAGAAACAGATTAACTCTACTTCACCTGACCTGTACCCCGTCAAGTTCAGATAGGCAACTTTATCATTCACATCTAAAAAAATTAAAAAATAAAAAATAAAAATTATCATTGACGTATTGGTCTAGAACCTGTGCCACCCGCATGCTTTACACTAACAACTTAGCTATTTAACTCGTGACGTCACAAGTTTTTTTTTATACTATAGTTTAATACTTTGAGTCTCTTTATGCAACTTGATTTACGCGCAAAGATCTAGATCTAAGTCAAGTAGTAGTAACTTTCAAATTAAATTTTAGCTTGAATGAGCCTAATAAAGATTGATATAAAATAATAAAGGTTTGAAATTATCTAGATCTAGATAGAATTATCTAGATCTAGATTCTACGACTCGTTTAGCATGTTTAAATAACGTGAAAACCCGCCATTTTGCTCGTGGTAAACATAGCCTAAAAATAGTCGGAAGTCATGCGTCCGGTCCGGACGCCATTGTTGTTAGCAACCTACCACGCCTCCAATAAAGCGAGTAATCCTACTATATCTAGCTCTAGAACCTAGATAGATAAATCCGATGTATTCTCGAATTAGATGTTCATTAAAGCTAAACAAAGATTTATATAAAATAAGGCCTGAAATAGTTCTAGATGTAGAATTTGCATTAAGTCTAGATCTAGAATGTACGTAAAGTCTAGTGCCGTAGATCTAGATCTAGATCTAAAATCTAGATTTCATTACAACATGTTCTTCCTTCGTCAGCTGATCTGTATATCTAGAGAAATTTATCGTAAAACTAAATGAAAAAGACAGTTGAAAATTGATTTTAAGTGTTGGAACGTAATAAATACAGGAAACGGACGTGTTGTTAAAGCTATAGCCGACGGAAAATTAGCTTTAGAACGCGTTAAACTTTGGAATGGGAACACAATCTTCTTCGATAGACGCCGCCATTTTATTGTACTAAAAAGTAAACAAAAAATGTGACGCCACTCTTCCGTCGAGTCTAGTCGTTTTTCTAATCTTTTAAAATAAATGTGGTTAATCTACCTATGAATAAATCAATAAATTAATTAACGTCTTTAAATGAATTTGTGATTAACAGTCTGTCTGAAAATAAAAATTATTCTCTACCTACATACTATTTTACAGCTCTCCACACAGAGTAGAACCATTTACAATAGTCAATCAGACAAATAAATATTCATGTAAACAAACTTGAGTTTTAGTAGTATACTAGACTACCCGTTATCTAGTTAGATAACTGTGGGTTTCGGGGGTCATCCATAAATGACATCACATCTGTCAGCACTTATCATCCCAAAATAACCAGACCCCACATTCCAAAAGAGGTTTTTTATATTTAAAAAACTCTACTAAACTCTACTTCATCTGCCCAGTGTCCCGCCAAGTCTCGGACATGTTTGAAATAAAAAAAAATACAACGATTCCGGCCGAGCATGGCCCTGACCACACTATCCCTTCAAATGCTGAGAACATTGAAACAGGTGAACTCTACTTCACCTGCCCTGTGCCCCGCGAGGTCCTGATAGTCAACCTTATCATTCACATGTAGGCCTTAAGAAAAAAATAATTGAAAACATTGTTGTAAAAAGGAAATAAATCCTTGCGCTATTACTTAATTCATTGTTCTAAACTTTTATAATTAATGTGGTTAATCTACCTATGAATATATCAATAAATTAATTAACGGCTTTAAATTAGTTTGTAATTAACAGTGTGTTTAAGAAAGAAAAATATATACCACACAAAATCCTATTTTACAGCTCTACCAATAATGCAGATTCTCCCAAATAACAAAATAAAAAAATAAACAAACAAAAAAATGAGTTATCAAACGTCACTCTTTAGTCAAAGTTTAGCGTTTGTTCTAAAACTTTAAAAGTAATGTGGTTAATCTATCTTTGAATAAATCAATAAATTAATTAATGTCTTTAAATAAATGTGTGATTAACAGTCTGTCTGCAATCAAAAATTATTCTCTACCTACATACTATTTTACAGCCCCCCATATAGAGCATTTTCCTTACAGTACCAAATCTGACAAATAAAAAAATAAATATTCAAACACGTAAACAAACTTGAGTTTTAGTAGTATATAGCCTATATTGTTAAATTTGCTGGTACTTTAAAACAATTTTAAAAGATTACAAGTGTTAATCAAAAGTCTACACACGAACTTGGTGCGTAATTCTTGGTGCGAGATTCTGATCTATTTTAAACGTTTAAGAATTTAAAAATTGATTTAAAAAGCATGTCTATATCCAGAGTTGCTATCCCCATTGTTATATAAAATAAACCGGTGTGATCTCCCCTAAGCTTTCTCGAATATTCTTATAAGAAACAACAGGGGATGGCAACTCGGAATATAGACATGGTTTTGAATCATTTTAGATACTTAAACTTTTTAAAAATCGAATAAAATATCGTAGAAAAAAAATAATTGCATACCAAGTGAACGCCAAATAAAATGGCATTAAAGTGCGGAATATTATTCGTATTTTGTAAATTCACATGCGTTTTTTGAGAAAACGGAAATAGCAAAAATTACTACTTGCGGTCAATTGAAATTACTGAAAATTTGACAGTAGGTAAAGAATTAATTATTTTTTTACTTACATGAAAAATTTCATTTATCTATCTGAAATAGTACTCAAGTTACAGGCGTTTTTTTGAGAAATCGGAAATAGCAAAAATTACTACTTCCGGTCAACAGTAATTACTCAAAATTTGCAGAAGGTAGCGAATTAGATTTTTTTACTTACATGAAAAATTTCATTTATCTATCTGAAATAGTACTCAAGTTATAGGCTTTTGAAAAATTCAAAGTAGAAAAAAGTTCCACTTTCGGTTATCAGAAATCGCTGAAAAGTTGATCTACGATATTGATACAATTCGTATATATGAAATTTCATCAACCTGGCTGTAACGGTATTCAGGGTATTGAGTTTACACACACACATCCACACACACATACACACATACATATGGACAAGATTGCAAAACTGTTTTTCCGACTCAGGGAGCTGTAAAACTTCAAGATTTGCAAAAATCTAGATTTTTTTTGAACGATTACAAGACTTTCTCTATACTTCGTATATACGAGAAAGTAAAATTTCGAAAACGTTTTATGGAGTTAACTCCCGCTTTTTCAATTAAAGTTTTGGAAAAGATTTTGAAATTTTAGTTTAAAATTAGTTTATTAAACATAAATATCAAATGTAATGCTGCAATTTTCTTATATAAGATATTAGTTAAATTGTGGAATAATAATGTATACACATTTTAATGCATATGCTAGACAATCATATCAAACACATCTGCGCCTAAGATCATATAAACACAAATATTTAAAAAATGTGGTAAAATAAAGTTACTTGAAATTAATTAATCTAAAATTATCTTAATAACCTCTACTTCTAAGCGAATGTAATCCATCATTTAAAAAGTAAAGAAAATGTTTGATAAAATGTATACCTTTACCACATTCAAGTTGTTACGGGTAATATAAACAAAACTATGTACCTTCATTAAATGAAGATGTTGATTTTCGAACAGTTGCAGCTGTTTCTTTGATATCTCGATGGGGCACTATAGATTAATATACAAATAAATACGCACAATGAAAAAAAAAATCTAAATTATACTTTCCAACAACAAATTTATAAACGTTATGAAATATCAATTAAATTTAAAAGTGAGAGTGGCACCAATTTGATAAACTCTTAATCATGTATTCCCTTTAAATCAATATTAATAAAGCTTTACACAGAATTACATTTTAAATAAAAAATCAAATACGATTGCTAAGCATATCAAATCTTAAAATAGGGCAAAATCATTTGAAACATTAAATGTTTATAAAACTACACCATAAATTAATTTACAATCAAGTTTTATCAAATCAAAACTTTACTTAGTTTTGTTTTATTGCTGCAGCTATGTTTAAAAAGAGTTTTTATTTAAAATGACTTTACAGTGCTTGTTTAATAAATTCAAACGGCAAAGGTAAAAACAAAAATCAATAGTGAAGGAACTTAATTCTTCTCAATTTATTCTTACATTAAAATGACACCGGGCTACATAAATATAAATCTAGAATTTGGTTAGAAAACCGCTTGCTTTTCGAGAAAACACATAAAGGCGAATTTTTTTAGAATCAGCTTTATGAAAATATTATATAGTTATTGAATTCTGGAGGCTTTTGAACCATTAAAAAAAGTGAGACCCATTCATGTTGCCTTAAATCAATAAATCACTGAAATGTTGACAGAAACAACTGCATAGGACTAAATTCAGATCATATTTCATTATATTTGTTCTGCATGATTAACTTTTGTTTTAAAGATGTGTACTTATAAAATATATTTAAATGATGGGTGCTATTAAGGAATTAATAAATATTATGTCAAGAAATCCTGCTTTATCGTATAGGGTTACAAAGGTGGTACTGGTAATTTAATATATAAGTATTATAACAAATATGTAATTAAATATACACATTTAAGCCATTTACATTTTGTACTAACTATAATTCCCGGTTCTCAAAGTCCTATAATTTTAGCACCGTTTATGTGACGTGGACGAAATTTCACATTTTAGGTTTACGTTCTATGCACAGGTCTCTTTCAAAGTTCGAACGATTTTCCGGTTACGGGAAGTGATATCTTTCTATATTTACATTCGAGCATTATAAATTTTGATATCCTACAGCTACATTGATAAAACTATATAAGTACAAAATCTTATACATCGGTTACTCTCAATTTCTGAAGAACAATCCGATTACCAGGTGTAGTATGTTACTCAATTTTAATTTTCTAATATACCGATAACGTAAGTATCGTTGCTGTTAGGTGAAATAAATTGTATACAAATGTATTAGTTCTTATTATATTGATTTATATCAAATTTATAGTTATTTCCGTGATGAGAAGGAGTATTTTACGACATTTCCGATTTCTCAAAAAATATAACTTCAACGGGATTGATTTGGTTCAAATTTTCACGTAGGTAAAGACTCGATTCCAATTAACTGCGACATAATATTTGGCCTAGTTAGATGGTTTTTTTTTAAATTAATAAATGTTTCCTTTATAAAATACGAATGTTCCTCTAAATTACGTGCACATTGTTTATGTTAATTTCGGGGCGTAATTCTTTTTTTCTACCCGATTCTATTTTTAAAATAAATAATTTAAAAAATAAATGTCATAAAAAAGTTTTAATAACAAACTTTTATGTACTAATGCACTAAAAAGTAGAAAATAAATTATAGACTACTACTTAAATAACTAGAAAGAAAAGCGTGGGTCACTTTAGTATCTAATGGATACCTTCACTACTGTTTAGGAAGAGACCCACGCTTTTCTTTCTAGTTATTTAAATAGTAGTCTATAATTTATGTTCTACTTTTTAGTGCATTAGTACATAAAAGATTGTTATTAAAACGTTTTTTATGAAAATTTTTTAGTACTTTACATGTTTTTATTTACACAAGAGTTACATGACTAAAAACCATTGCGCGCCGATTGAAACGTGATGGCGCAGCTATTGAACGTGATGACACGTGTGGTGTGGTTGGATAGACATGCCTACTAATTCGGTCCAAATTTTAATTATTTAATAAAAACTTAATTAGGCATCCAATTAAGTCAAATTTAATTTCAAATTGCATTGTCTTCATGTCTTGACCCACGTGCCAAGTGTGAACCGTATCGGTCAAGTAGAAGTGACCGAATTTTCGCTCCGGCGTTTCGATCTAGACAGACAGACAGACAGACTGGAAGTGAGTTAAATAAAAGCTTGTAAAAAAAATTCATAAAAAAATGTTTTAATAACAAGCTTTTATGTAATAATGCACTAAAAAGTAGAAAATAAATTATAGACTACTATTTAAATAACTATAAAGAAAAGCGTGGGTGTCTTCCTTAACATTAGTAAAGGTATCCAATAGATACTAAAGTGATCCACGTTTTTCTTTATAGTTATTTAAATAGTAGTCTATAATTTATTTTCTACTTTTTAGTGCATTATTACACAAAAGCTTGTTATTAAACCGTTTTTTATGAATTTTTTTTCCGTACTTTACATGTTTTATTTACAATAGCATAACATGATTAAAAACCATAGCGCGCCTACTGAACGTGATGGCGCGCCTACTGAACGTGATGGCGCAGCTATTGAACGTGATGACGCGTGAGGTGTTGATGGATAGATATGCCTATTAATTCGGTCCAAATTTTAATTAATTCATAAAAATTAATTAGGCATCCAATTAAGTCAAATTTAATTTCAGATTGCATTGTCTTCATGTCTTGACCCACGTGCCAAATGTGAATGGTATCGGTCAAGTAGAAGTGTCTGAATTTTCACTCCAGCATTTCGATCTAGACAGAGAGACTGACGACAGAGGAAGCGATTTAAATAAAAGCTTGTAAAAATGAATAAAAACGTGTTGATGACACGGTTTTATGTGAAAATGTATTTTACAAAAGAGAAGATAGATGATTTTCTTGAAATTTATAACACATTATTATTTCAATAACTGTAAAGAAAATCGTTATGAGTTTTTAATTTTTCTCGCATGTTTCCGACTATGACGAAAGAATAACAAAGGAAACAAGTTACAAATAAACAGTTATGCGCTTTTGTGGATTCGGAAATGGGGTAAAGTACTACTTCCTGTAAGCGGAAATTACTCAAAATGTGATAGAAAACAAGGAATTGTTGTTATTTTTAAAAAATTTATGTGTGAAATTTCATCGATCTAACTGAAACAGTACTCAAGTTAAAGGCTTTTGAAAAACTAAAACTAGAATATGTTCCACTTCCGGTTACCAGAAATAGCTGAAACGTTGATTCAGAACTACAAATGTATATAATAGTAATTTTTTTTTAAATTTGATGTTTGCCAAATTAAAAAATGTCCCCTTTACTTCGTATATGAGGATTACTGTGGTGCAAAATGGTGAAAACTTACAAAATTCCATGTGATTTTTATGCATGATTTTAATACTTCCTTTTTTACTTTCTCGTATATACGAAGTATAGAGAAAGTCTTGTAATCGTGCAAAAAAAATCGAGATTTTTACAAATCTTGACGTTTTACACCTCACTGATACGGAAAAACATAATTTTCCAATCTTGTCCGTATGTCTGTGTGTGTGTGTCTGTTTGTGTGTCTGTGTGTGTGTAAACACGATAACTTGAGTACCGTTACAGCTAGGTTGATGAAATTGTATATGTAAGTATTTTATCAAAATCGTTGATCCGTATCAACTTTTCAGCGATTTTCCATACCTGGAAGTAGTATTTTTTCTACTTTGAATTTTTCAAAAGCCTATAACTTGAGTACTATTTTAGATAGATAAATGAAATTTCACATGTAAGTAAAAGATCTAATTCTCTACATTCTTTTGAATTTTGAGTAATTTCGGTTGACCGGAAGTACTAATTTACGCAATTTTCGATTTCTCAAAAAAACGCATGTAAATTTATAAAGTACTAATAATATCGCACACTATTATGCATATTTTGTGTTGGCATTCGCTTGGTACGCAATTCGTTTTTTTTCTACTAGATTTTATAATATTTTTTAAAGTTTAAGCAAACAAAAATCATATCTATATTCCGAGTTGCCATCCCACGTAGTGTTATATTAGAATATTCGAGAAAGTTTGGGGGAGATCACTCCCGGTTTATTTACATTGTATACGAGAATCTAAAAATATTTAGGCATCCAATTCAGTCCACTTTACTGTAATAGTACTTTTCATTGGGTCTTGTTAAAAGTGTGTCACTAGGCAGTTTCGATCTAAGACGGACGACAGACAGACAGATGAAGCAAGTTAAATTAAAGCTTGTAAAATAATTAAAGACACAAATCTTGCAAGAGGGCACCAAAACAACCATTAACATAACCCGTTATGAAAGAACATACGAGAAATTTAAGGGAGATCACTCCCACTTTATTTAACAATATGTGGAGAATGCTGTAGACTAAGCATGTTTTTCTTAAAATTAATCCTAATATATAAAAGACCATGTGCGCACTTCTCTCTCTCTCTCTGTCTGTCCGCAAAATATTTTCGCCGGACATCAAATCAGAAACTGCAGCGATATATGATGAACTTTATACGGACTTTTGTTGAAAATAATATGTTACATGTTTTAAATGTATAACCGCAATTTTATTTAAAGAAGAAAAATAAAAAATAAAGGCGTATTCGAATGTAGAAAAACAATTTTAATTATGCAACCGGAGAAGTGTTTAAACTTGCGACAAGAATGCAATTAATAATGACGTCGCTTATTTTTACACTAAATAAACCGGGAGTGATCTCCCCTAAACTTTCTCGAATATTCTTATATAAAATAACTGGGGATGGGAACTCGGGCTATAGACATGATTTTTAATCCATTTTAAAAACTTAAACTTTTAAAAATAGAGTAAAATCTCGTAGACAAATTGATTGCACACCATGTGAACGCCAAATAAAAAAGCGCATAATAGTGCGCAATATTATTAGTACTTTTAAAATTTACATTAGTTTTTTGAGAAATCGGAAGTAGCGTAAAGTACTACTTCC